GTGGAGAGCCAGCTATTGCAGGGTAAGGTGTGCAGGGAGGCAAGGGCCCTGTCTGTCATGATTTGTGTTTATTACCCTAGCTGCAGGCACAGGTGAATTGTATTGGTATAAATCCTACTTTGTTACTCTTTTGCTTGCATGCTATGAAATTCAACAGCATCACAATTAAATCGAAAACTGTTGTTTATTTCTAAATTCCCAGTTTAGTGATATTATATTTTTCTACCTATGGACTCTGAAGTGACTCCAGCAGTTTGTATTCCATCCTCTCCTCTTCCAATGCAGCTTTCATCACTGTATGATCCGAGAGCCTTCCAGAAATACATTACGTAATGTGGCTGTCACTTCTGTCACATGTGGTTCATTTTCTCTCCTTTTCTGAATTATTGGGTAGATCAGATATATTTTTGTTTCTGTGTTGAAACAAATAGATGTAAGAACCTTTCATTCGTGATACGGCATAATAAAATCTCCAGAGGTTTTCCTTCATGTACTGAATCTAGTCTCTAGGAAGGCTGTGTACTTGCATGGTCAGATGTGAATAAATTAAATTACTTCCTAAAACTCCATTGCCAGGATTTTCAGGAAAGATTTCACTGAGGCTTTTTAGTCACGTATGTTAGGAGTCGGAAAGAAATTATCATCTTGTCAGAATTTGAAAGAAAACCAATAGCAGACTGCCTGCCTTTTTTGCTAAATGCAATATTGTTTCAAGACTGTACAGATTAAAACTGTGCTGGTAGGTGTTTCTTTTGCACTGCATTCTGATTCCCTTATTTAAATTAATTTTGAAAATATTGAACACTTAAAATCATTGTGACCTGTACTATGGTAGTATTTTTCTCTGAAAATAACATGTTGCTGTGCTAGTGCCTGAATGCTGTAATCTCATCAAAATGTTTGGACAATGGGTCTGAATCATGCTGGAGTGACATCAATGAAGTGCCTTTTTCTAGCTCAGTGAGAAACTTCTGCAGCTTGGAATGGAACAGAGGAATGGACAGTACTTTTTAAAACCAACTCAACTTCCACAAATTACTGTTTTGTGGGACATATTTTAATGTAGGGAGCTATACTGGGACTGTCTGAATACTGTGGGCCAAACTGGCCTAGGTTAGGCCAGGCTGCAGTTTGACAGGATCGTTCAGGGTCTGTTTGTACTGACTGCTGAAGCAGCTGAATTTTGTAGGATGTTTGTAGTCTCCTCCATGCCTCAAAAGCAGCATGAAATAAAGCACAAAAATGTTTTGATTGTAATTTTAACAAGTGGACAATACAAAGGAGGAGCCAACTGAAAAGGAAATGGGAGATAATGAACAGGGAGTGACTTTCTGTGGAGGCTCTTGGAAATGTAGATGAGTAAACAATGTTTGATGCAATACAGAACAAGGAACTATCAGAATGTTTCCAACAGAGAAGTGATGTGGTCAGAGTAATTATCTACATAAATAATCTTAGGCTGTGGTTTCAAGGTTGCTAATTCTAGGCCTGTGTACACCCAGATTTCCCAGCACTTCTAAATAGTCCAGACCAGGTATGGCCATGCTGTCACATTGTCCTCACATCAGTTTGTGCCCGTTCTACAGTTTTTCCTCTGCCTCTGCAGGGACTGTCAATACCTGATGTTGTTTGAATGTCTGCTGGTACAAAATTATCCCATCAACATTTCTACTGATGAAATTTAAATTGGCAGAATGAGTTAAAATTGAATTAGTGGTTTCCATTTGATGGCTGTGGTGTATTTGATCGTTAATGGGAAGGCTATAGTCAGCTTTACTGTATTGTCAAATCATGGCATTTACAGCTGTTAAAGGCTGTTGTGTTATGAGCTGAGCTGGTTAATGCTGGAGGGAAAGGTGTTTGGAGCAATTCAGTTATGGAAGAAAAAGACCTAAACAAAAGTCTTAGTTGTGTGGATGGATCAAAGGGCCTTGTCTTACAGGTGCCATGTACCACAAGTCTAAATTTAGGCACAGCCTGGATGCTAGAATCTGCACAAACAGAGCTAAAAGTTGACATAGAAGCTTGAAATGGTTGGTAGGCTGGTGGTGTTATCCACAGATAACACAAAGAAGAGGACATCCAGGGAAGAGAAAGAACCAGGATCTAGCTTTGAGCTATAGCGTCCTGCTAGTCATCCCCAGAGAGAGAAAATGGTTATGATTTCAGGGGAAAGGAGCAGATCTGTAAATCATCTGCATAGAGGTGGTACTTGTATTTCAGATGCGATAACTCTGGAAAAAAAACGTGGGAGGATGAAAGCAGAATAGAGCTCTGTGACGCAGCGTGAGGAGAATCTGTCTAAGAACACTTGGAAGGAAGGCTAAATAGGTAAAATGAGATTTAAAGTGAAGCATACTTAATTGTGTCAGGTCAAACACAGTGAGGCTCAAGTACATTTTTTTTTTTTCTGAGCTCTGCTGAGCCTCTGAATGGCTTTGGTTAATCCACAGTGGAAATGGAGAAGTTGCTGGTAGTTTGATGTCTGTGGAATCAGTCTACAAATGCACCAGAGAGACAGGTAGAGAAGGAAATGGGGAGGGGTAAAGGCTTTTATTTATTGAAAACAGGCTTGGGGTCATTTATTTATTTATTTATTTACTTGATGGTGGGACGTATGGGGAGATAGAAGGAAAAGGAGAGTGAGCAAAGAAGATGATATTATTTTTTAGCCATAACATTAAATAAATAAATAAATAAATAAATAGAGTTTATTCCCTCTAGCAGAAACTAGATAGCTTCTGGGTTTTTTGGTCTTTTGCTTATTCATTCATTTCACAGAGCTGAAAGGTGGGAAGAACAAGCACCATTCTCCCAATCACCCCTTGGGGCTGTTCAGCTTAAGATGTAGCTTTAACATGCAGCCGAGCCTATTTAATGACTTGTAGCTTCTGTAAGGAGGATTTGCTTTTCTTGGCTTTGTGCTCTGTCACTTTCTTTGCACTGGTGCTGCTACTCTTTGGACCTGTTTGTCTATCACTTTTCAGAGTTCATTTGGCTCACAGAAGTGTCCTGATGAGTGCCAAAATCAGCACAGGCCAATCAGGAATGTGTAGCTGGGAGCAGAGTTCTGGGATATGTAGGGAATGTCACTTTCTCAGCAACCATGAGCTGAGGCCAACTTACTTTATCTTCTGAAACTCAGCCATTTAGGTAAGTTGATCAGCTCTTCAAGAAATGGATTTGTGAAATTCCTCTCTATTCCTACAGTGAAAGAGTAGGCAATTAATGAAGAAATATGTTGATGATGATTCATGTTAATACAGCTCATCCTCATGGGATCAATCTGGCAGCTCACACCTCTGAAAGCAGATCAGATTCTTTGCAAAACATGCAAACTCTGGCAGATTCCTGCACTGACTGAGTTGCAGTTGATTCATCCTTTGGCTGAGGATGTAGTTTCACTGAGATCTGGCTCTATGGTGAGCGTCCAAGGAGTTAAACCACAAGAAAACTCTATTTTTCCTACTAGCTTTCTGTTCACTAAATTCCTTGAATCAAACTGGCACCCATGTTTGTAGAAGTGTGGCAGCAGAAGGAAGGTTATGGGCGGAAGAGGGAAGCAGAATTGTTTTTTCAATCAGGAGCTAAACCTTTCTTCCACCTTGTTGCATTGTGAAACTGAGCCTTTATGGATGTGGCTTGACAGCTGATTTCAAACTGATGTCATTCTGACTTTTGACAAAAGAAGTGGTCCTACTACTTCCCTGAGATCAGCCTTATTAAAACAAATCCTACTCAGAATTACTTATTTGAATATATAGTCATGGGGTTACTAGCATCCACACGAGGAAGATAAATGACATTAGCAGTTGAAATGTGAGTTTGGCTTTCTTATGTAGCTTGGGATGGGGCCCAAATGGAGTGTTATTAATGAGCTAGTGGGGACTACATGCAGCTCTCTGCTCATTGTCTGCTAACAGCAATTTAAGTCTTGACTGGAGCCTCTTTTCTTTGATATTCCACTATCATTGATTTTCCTTTGAACACTGAGTCATTTACTGTACTCTTCCCTCTGTTAAAGGATGAGCTAATGGGATTATAAGTGTGTATATATATATATATATATATTTATTTTTTTTTTTCTGTGATCAGCATAACAAGCAAAGTCTGCTTTCCTATGGATTTGTCCTGATGTGGCACTGCTGTGTGGATTCTCTGATGCATATTAAGCAGCGTCTGCACATGCTTGCCATTTTATCAGTGGCAATTGTATTATGGTCTATCTCAAGCTTGGCTTTGCATTTCACAGTAGTCACCTTTGAAAGCTCTATCTCTCTGTACAAATTTAGATGGAATTGGGCAGTGCCTTAGACATGCTTTTTTGGCAAGGAAAGGGAGAAAAAAAAGGGGATCCACAGGCAGAAGAGCCAACAGACTTCCTTAAGAAATCAGGCTAAAAATGAATCTTCTGGCTGCGGTCTCTGTAAAGATCTCAAATCAGATACCAGGGAGAGAAGAAAAAGTAAGTTTAGCTGTTTGGCATGTAAAAGTCTCAGTTACCAGCTGCAACAGATTTCCCGTAAGTAAGGTTATGCCAGTAGTTGGTGTCTACTCAATTGGTTACTTTTCCACTTGGTTACTTTTTACTCACTTAGTTCTTTTCTTCTCCAGTGTCCCCATCAGGCTTTAGGAGCTTTTTTTTTTCCCCTGCCAGAGCACACTCGGGCATCTGTTACTTTCATTTATTTTTACTTTAATGTTCATACTTGAATTTATCAAGTATGTAGGTAGTAAGACAAGCTGTTAAAGAGACTTGTGGTTTACAGGACTCTGTTGATGTCAGTGATGCCATAGAGAACAAAGGTTTTAGATGCAGCTAAGGATACAATTCCATTATTGTTCAAAAGTTTGGGTATTACATTGGATCTTCTCTGCAAGACTTTCGTTGTGTGATAAATGCTAGGGCATTTTATTTCCCCCTCCTTTATGAATTTACACAGAATTCCTATCACCTTAGAAACTAAAACAAACACTTTGTAAAAGGAAAGACTGGTCTATTTCAGATTTCTAGGTGGATGTCAGTTTATTTGTAACAGCACACTTCTAATAAACTTTGCAGATTTGTTCGGATTTTCTAAGTTCTTGAGTCTCTGACAGAGTTTTTACAGATACCCTTCACCCCCTAACAGGGCAGCTGGGTTCTGCAGTCTTCACAGAGGGGTTCTGGGTCTTCTTCCTGTCCCTTGCTCTTGATTACATGGTCTCTGAAGTATGTGTGTAGTGTCTCCAGATGTTAACTTTTTTCAGCCCCAGCTCAGTTCCCTGAATCTGTGCTCTTGTCATTAAGGAATGCTGGTGCTGCAGCAAGGGAGCAGGAAGTGGTCAGTCAGGCTTAACAGGAATTGTGCTGATATCCTAGTGGTGCTCCAGGTCTGTGCTAGGTGATGATGACCCTGTAAAACAAAGCAGTATATGCTCTGGAGAAGGCAGGAGAATGAAGAGAGAGGGGAGGGAGAGAAGAAAAGACAAAAGAACGTCCTCATGTAACTGTGGGAACTCTCCACGACAGGCAGGCTACTCCAGCTTGTCCTCCTGTCTGTACACTGAATCATGTGATGAGCCTCAGAGTAGCAGCATCCTGCCCTGTGACCCGCATTTCAGCTCCCAGCTGTGTCTGCTACACTGGTTGGCAGGGGGTGGGTGGAGAAGCCACGGCTCATGTATGGTTGTGAGAGAGAAGCCCGTCTTTCTTGTGGGGGTGAATGAACCAGGTGGGAGTCACTGCAGCCTGGCAGATTGCACTGTTCTCTAGGCCCTGGGGAATAAATGTAAAAATGAAGACAATTTTTTTTTTTTTTTTTCCCTGTAGAGCAGGATTGTGGGGCTTTGCAGAAGGACGGCATGCAGGAGCTGTTACTTTCAGTTAAAAGGATTTGCGTGCACAAACCAGGCAATTTGACGGAAAACAAACTTCCTGAGGTGATCCCATCAGCTGTGAGCTCTGATACCACCTCACTGTGCTTGGGCTTGGGTCTGCTTCCCAGAGCAAGCAGCAGCTTAGGCTGTGACTGATCTCCCCCAAACTGAGCACTGCTCCATCTGCGCTTCCCCTGGGGACAGCCCCTGTGCTGCAGCATTCTGCAAAACGCCAGCTGCTAGGGAGCTCTGCAACAGGCAAAGAGTAAAACAGAATGGAGTTTGCCACAGTCAGAGCCATCGGAAGCAGTATTTCCCGTGGTCTTGGGGTCTCCTTTGTGCGGATGCAATTAGCTGGGGTCTGTCAGCACATTTGGAAACAAGGGGAACTGTGAAGAAATGTGAAGGAGTGAGGCACTCTGGCATCTGTGAGCTCCCACGAGATCGGTGCTGGGAACTTGTTTGCTGGCACTGAGGCCCAATGGTGACAATCCCTAGTGGCTGCAGCTGCTCTCCGTGTGCCAGGCACGGTGTCACGTCTCTGCAGTTCCCTACACGTGTTTCTCCAGAGCTTTGACAGAAACGATCCCTCTCTTAAACCCTTATCCCTCTCCACGCGATTTCCCCCTTTGTTTCCCTCCACCTGTTTCACACTCGCTGCTAAGCAGGCGACGCTCCTGTTTCTATTTCCCATCCCGCCTTTGTTACTCCCTTCTCCCCACCGCTTCCTGTTCCTCATTATCGCTTCGCTCCGCTCCCCCCACGGCGCAGCCCGCCGCTTCCCCAGCAGTCCGCCCTTCCCCAGGCCGCCTCCCCCGCGGCCGCGCCCGTAGGCCCGAGCGGCGGCGGCGGCGGCGCCCCCGAGACCGGCTGCCGTACAACATGGCGGCGCCCAGGGGCCGCCCGCAGCCGCGGGGAAGAGGAAGCGTCCACCTCTCTAAGCGTCCCGGTGCGCGCCGCGGCCGCCCCGCGAGGGGTTCCTGCAGCCGGTTCCGCTGAAACGCAGGTGGCTGGTGGGCCGGCGGGGCCCAGCTGGGAGAGAGGGGTAGCGGTACTCGTCCCGGGAGGAGCCCCGAGCGACCGAACATCGGGGCGCTGCGGGGGCACCCGGGGGAGCGCTGAGCTGAGCGGCGGCCGCGGGGCTTCGCCGCCGGCAGGATGCTTCCCGTGCCCGGAGCTCGCCTCGTCCAGCTACGGACGTGGGTGTCTCGGAGCTCGGAACGCGTGTCGCTACGTCGTCTCTAACGCCCGCCTCTCCTTTCTCTTTGCAGGCCATGATAAAACCTGATCGCGCCGCTCCGAGAGGGTGAAGCGCAGGGTTACAAAATGCCCAGGCAGGCGGCCGTGCCCGTGGCTCTGGCGGCCTTGCTGGGAATCGCCGCGGGGGGGCTGGTTCTGTGGAAGGCCGCCCAGCGCCGGAGTGGCAGAGCGCGCTGCGGGCGCCTGCGGGAGGAGGCGGCGGGGGAGCGGCCGGAGGAGAAAGAAAGCAAGGCAGGGGGCAGAGAAGCGCTGCCCCTGTTCGCGTCCCCCACCCTTTCCTGGGTGGAAAGGAGCCTCGGCGCAGATATAGTGATCGTGTCGGAGCGGCAGGAGTGGGACCGGGTGGAGCCTTTGCTGAAGAAGGAGCTGGAGAAGTGGCCGGTGCTTGGAATGGACTGCGAGTGGGTGAGTGATCGGAGCGCCTCTCCTTTCGGTTGCGAATTGCCTCTGGGGAGGGGCGAGTCCTTGCCCGAATGGATGCAACTTGGCCTACCGTTGAAACTTATTATCCCTCGTGGCACCAGTGAAGTACCCGCTAACGGTGATTATTCTCGCGTTTAAATCGGCCGATGGTAGGGAATTCATTCGTAGTTGTATTTGTTTGCTGGGTTGTTGTGATAAATCTGGTTCTAAACGTGCGGTGATCGTTGTATGGCTCAAAAGCGCTCTATGTTTTGTATCATGTTTCTCTAAATGTGATTTTGTAAAAGTGGTTTGGATTTATGCTATCTTAAATCCAGCTACGTACTGGGGAAAGTATCTCTCAAAGATATTGGATATATATATACCAGAATTGGAGATGTTCTCATCTACTGATAGTAGCTAGAGCTCACTGGCTGTCCCAGGGAGCAGGGCTCTGATTCCGCTTGCGTGTTTGCTTATGTGAACTCTCAACGCAGACTTCGAGTCATTTATAAAGCTCGACTTTGCCATTGTTTCTGGCTGGAAATTTATTCACATCATATTCATTAGTATAACCGCAGTTAAACAGTGTGTTTGCCATAAGCGCTTATATGGTGGGTGACTTTGTGCTGAGGAAGATTAAGGAATGCTGAGGAGGATTAAGCTCCCCCCCCATGGGGGGTAGGGGTTAGAGGAGGGAAATTTCTCTTGTAGGAGTGTGGCAAGAAGTAGCTGCTGTGGAACAGTAATAATAAGCTGTGGGACAGATCACTTAATGTTCAAGGGAAAAAAAGATTAGATGCATGTAACAACTCTTGACTGCATATTCTGACAAGTATTTCCCGTATTTGGTGGCCTCTTCTATAATTTGTTCCAGCTGCAGTTTTACCAGTAATGCTGAAACTCAGCCTGTGATTTTTGTCTTTCAGGTATCTGTGGAGGGAAAAGCAAATCCCGTATCCCTCCTACAGATGGCTTCTTCCAGTGGCCTTTGCATTCTCGTTCGGTTGCCCAGGCTTGTTGCCAGCGGACAGCCTATCCCAAAGACCCTCCTGGACATCATGGGAGATGATGCTGTGTTGAAAGTAGGAGTAGGATGCTGGGAAGACGCCTGCAAGTTACTTCAGGATTATAGTCTTCCAGTCAAAGGGAGTGTGGATCTCCGGTATTTAGCCATGAGGCAGCGGTGAGTGTCTGAAGACAAAGGCAGATGTTTTGAGGGCATCATTTGTATTGTTTAAATATTTAAAAGATGGTTTCTATGTGCTGGATGATGCCAGGTAGGTATGGAGTTCTCAAGGTGGTGCACTCTCTTGGAGAGCATGAGCATTGACAGCAGCATCCCAAGAACATGAAAGGAAACCTTCATGAGTATTAATCATGTCAGTCTTCTCCTGTAATACCTGTAAAGGCTTTTCTGAGTATCATGCTTCAGCCTGTATAAAGGCCAAGTACCGTGATATAATGCAGGCAGAGTGATCACCATGTATTGCAGACGTTGAGTACGCTGCCTACTGGTATGGGTAAATATGCTAGTGGCACATAAGTGGAACTGCTGAATGACAGGATTTCTTGAAAAGTGACTAAAACTAGTTTTAATATTATTTTATAATGACATTACTTCCATTTATAGGTTGCAGTTGTGATGTCATTCCTCATCGATCCTAAAATAAAATGTTTTACTTTGAATGATTCTTCATGTTTGGTATATGTGTTATGTCAGTGGTGTGGAGCATGACCTTGCTCACCTAGTGGTGCCTTTGTATTGTGGAGGATGGACTTCTTGTCCCTAGAAGCCAGGATTCCTCTTGAGCCATTCCTGGCTCTTGTATTCCTCAAAAAATATCTCCAGGCTTGGATTGGTTGGATTCTGTTCTAGAATCCCTGGGACACACAGTCCATCACTCAATGCCAGATCTCTCTATTTGATAAGCAGGTAGTTCAGAGCAGAATACTTCAGCCTTAAATGTTATCAGCTCCCAGCCTTGCCTGTTTTGCATATTGCAGACACTAGATAATTGCCAAGTCTAAGATGGACATTTTTGTGGAGGGGGAGGGCTTGTAAAGCTGACAGGCAGCTAGCTATATGCTGCTTGAGTGGGAGTCATGCATCAAGTGCACTCAGTTCTGGCAGAATCAGGCTGTATGAGGCCATCCAAATTTGCATGAGTGTTTAGTTTTGTTTTTAATATGTTTGTTTCACTTTCTTTGTTAAAACTAAAGGAAGGATCTACTTCACAACTGCCTTAGCCTTAAGTCTTTAGCTGAAAAAGTCCTGAACTGCCCGCTTGACAAGTCTCCTCATATGCGTTGCAGCAACTGGGAGGCAGAAGAACTGACACAAGATCAGGTGTGTCTTCCACTTTAACTTAGTGTTTTTGGAGAAAAAGGAACCCTTTTTATGAGAGGAAAGGCGATGTAATATGGAGATTTGTGCCTTCTTTGGGTTCTGCTTCAGTAGCTTCTGTGTATCTGTGATGTGAAGTCAGTTATGGACTCTATGCCTGAGTTTCCCTCCTTTTCTGTGAAGGTGATTTTCTGTAATTCTCAGTGGATTCTTGCCTCTTGCTTTCTTTTAATTCTTGAAGATTTTTAAGGCAAGATCCCTGGAAATATTTGTGCACCCAAATCCTCACTTTTTTCCCCTTCCCATGCATAGCAGTCAGAGCAGTATCAGAGAAATGCTGAAAACCAAAGCTACGTTCACCATCTTTATGCTATTGTGGTTTCCCTCATTGCTCACATTCTTCAGTCATGCTGCAGATGTCTACGATATCAGTGACCACTAGAGGGAGTGACAGGACAAATAATCACGTTTAATGTTAGTAGGCAGTGTGTGGGAGTGCCTGTGAGCATTTCAGGCCTGAGTGACCCTAAAACGTGGCATATGCAGTGGTACAAAAGTGTGACTTAACTGCCAGAGTTTTGTGTGAGTTTTGAAGAGAAATAAATCCAGCTTTGCTGGATCTAGTGTTAAAGACTGATGGTGCTTGGAAGTGTTTGCTATTTGCCAGTGTGTCAATGTCTATGCTTTTCTGCAGGTTCTCTATGCTGCTAGAGATGCCCAGGTCTCGGTGGCTCTGTTCCTCCATTTGCTGGGGTTTGCCTGTCTCCCTGCTACATCTAAAGGTGAAAACTCTGTTTCCGTTTGGGAAAAAGTATTGAGTAAATGCCAAGGCTTGGTGGATATCCCATTTAAAGGAAGAAAAAGTGGCAGCACAGGAGAGGACAAGAGTGGAGAGGCACGTTCTCCTCAGAAAGGAAAGAATCGGAAATCTTTGGCGAATGTCCATTCCTCTGGCAGTCAGCAAGTGAGAGATCCTCGGAGGCAGAAGCGAAAGCCTCTGGGTGTGGGATATTCTGCAAGGTAAATATCTTAGTAAATTTTACTCCTTGAACCACAGCTGAAAACTGATTGATACTCCTTGCTCTACTTGTTAAATAAAGTGGATAATCCAAGCAAGGGAGGGAAACACAAGTCTCAGCAGTCATGAGAACCAATTCCTATTTCTGTTTTCCCAGCTTTTCTTTATTGAAAGTTGGCAGGAGCACTCAGATCTGTATTAGGTCTTGAAAAGATCGAGAGGATATCTTTGTTTTTTACCTTTCCTTATCATATTGACACACCAGGGAAAAGGTGTAAAACTGGGTAGAGCAGATCTTGTGAACAGCGTCTGCCTCATGAACTGCTCCAGTTCAGAGGTGTCAAGAGACTGAGCAGACCTGAAAGATGATGTGAGGTGCCAGGCAGTGCGGGAAGGACCATCTGTAGCAGTGACAGTGTTGCATTTCTGTGTGGGCCATGGAGAAAGGAGGGGACAGTTCCTGGGCTCCATCAGGAGAGGGGTGGTCAGCAGGGACAGGGAGGTGATTGTCCCTCTCTACTCGGCTCTTGTGAGGCCCCATCTGGAGTACTGTGTCCAGGTGTGGAGCCCTCAGTACAAGAAAGACATTGAGATTTTGGAAAGGGTCCAGAGGAGGGCGACTAAGATATCAGGGGGCTGGAGCACCTCCCCTATGAGGACAGGCTGAGGGAGTTGGGCTTGTTCAGCCT